CAACTCAGGTCAACTGGGTCAACTGGGGTCATCTGGGTCAAGTGGGTCCGGAATTTAGCGTGGCCACCAGGTCAACTGGGTCCACCGCCACCACCACCACTACTGCTACTACTACTTCTTCTTCTACTACCACTACTACTACTTCTACTACTGGGTCAACTGGGTCAACTGGGTCCGGAGATTTAGCGTGGCCACCGGGTCAACTGGGTCCACCGCCACCACCACCACCACGACTGCTACTACTACTACTACTACTACTTCTACTAGTGGGTCAACTGGGGTCAACTGGCTCAACTGGGTCCGGAGATTTTGCGTGGCCACCGGGTCAACTGGGTCCACCGCCACCACCACCACCACGACGACTACTACTACTACTTTACTACTACTTCTTCTACCACTACTACACTTCTACTACTGGGTCAACTGGGCAATCAACCTCAACACGGGCCGCCTCGTGTTGAGCTTGATTTGGACCGCTCAGATTGTCCTTTTTACAGCTAGATACTAGTAGCAGTAGTAGAAAGTATTGATACCTAGGTCCCAGGAGAGACAGTTGACCCACTTCCTCCAGTGACCCAATGGTCCCAGTTGACCCAGTTGACCCCAGTTGACCCAGTTGACCCCAGTTGACCCAGTTGACCCCAGTTGACCCAGTTGACCCCAGTTGACCCAGTCGACCCCAGTTGAGCCCAGTTGACCCAGTTGACCCCAGTTGAACCCAGCTGACCCCGTTGACCCAGTAGTAGAAGTCGGAGTAGTTGTAGTGGTAGGTGTGGTCGTAGTAGTAGTGGTACTGGTAGTGGTAGTAGTGGTAGTAGTAGTGGTAGTAGTGGTAGTAGTGGTGGTAGTCGTCGTCGTAGTAGTAGTGGTAGTAGTAGTAGTAGTAGTAGGAGTCCAAGTAGTAGAAGTGGTCGTCGTCGTCGTCGTCGTCGTCGTCGTCGTCGTCGTCGTGGTCGTGGTCGTGGACCCAGTTGACACAGTGGTCAAGCTAAATCTCCGGACCCAGTTGACCCTGGGTCAACCGGGGTCAACTGGGTCAACTGGGGTCAATGGGGTCAACTGGGTCAACTGGGACCACGGATTTAGCATGATTTAGCGGCCCCCTGTGCCGACGCACTCCATCTATTTGAACACCTGGACTTTACCAAACTTGCTTGTGAGCCTCTTCACTTGGCAAGCTCTCTTGAATGGACGGAAAGTACAACTTGTATGGATGCGTGCCAGCTGTTGAGAGCAGGAAGGCATTCTAGCTGGCTGCGCGTAGTGTGTATTCTACTAGACACACAACTTTTCCAGCGGACTTTCAATATTTAAGCAAAGAAACTCCATGCCTCTTCCCCGTGCCAAGGTCCTCTTGCTGGCCCTGGAGGTTACATCACTGAACGCTTGGCTAGGTCAGCTCATAGCTTGAGCAGAGTTACTTACCAGATTCCAGAGAAAAAACCTGTTTACTATATGGTAAGTTTACTGGGGTGAACGACCTTTTCATTGAGTGATTAGGGAGAGTTGTAACCCATTGAACGCGTAGTCCTCCCTTGAGATTCAACACCAGGGTGCTTGAAGCGCTCAAGTGCCTTTGATAGCAGGTGCCTAGAGCAAAGATGATGTCATCAGTTGTAGTTTCATCCTCCAATGCTTGTGGCATGAACCCTGCAGCTTCTCAAGCTCAAGAACTCAAGAACCTCAGCTCCACCTGACCCGAATCATGGCCAACGCCGGAATCTTCCTTGTGCTCCTGGCGACGCTGGCAGATGCATTCAGCCAATTCGCTTTTCCAGGACAGAGGCAGGGGACCTGGCAGGCACCTAGAAACTTGACCTAGAAACTTGCAGAAGGCAGTGATCTGAGAGAGTTCAGGTTCGGTGCCTCTTCTGCCTTTGACCCGTTTGGACATAGCGGAATCTATGATCACCACAACATTTATGCCTTTGAGGAGTCTTACTCAAGACTGCAGCCATTGTGCAGATTGATGAATCATTTCTTTGAGTTTGGTGCTTGTCAGGAGCCGCACTTGCCACCCTGTCCAACTTATCGACCGATCGAGCTGAGCGAATGGGTCAAAGTTCCTGGAGGAATGGGATCCAGCTGTGCAGGGAATGGTTGAAGTTGAAATCCAATTTTCCCCATTTGTGATGCACACGTCCATTTGCAGGCTACAAGATGTACGCTTCTCTCCCAGGCGTTCGACCAAGTGACCAACGAGCTCAGCTTTCATCCGATGGCCAAACCATAGATATCCTGGGGTTCCGGCAGGCCGGTTCAATCGAACATGTTTGGACATGCCAGCTTGGACGGTTGATTTGTTGGACATGGCTCACAGACTGTATGCAACTAGTGCGTGGTGTGCATCAAATACACAGTTGATACTGTTAGTTTATCGTAATTTTTTTCTATTTCTTCGGAGAACAGCTTCCACAATTTCTCGGAGTCTTGCGCATTCGTCCTTGTTGTTCTTTAACAGTTTCATGGCAGAAGGTCTCAAGATTGTAGTGGAGAGCTCCAGAAGGGCGAGGTCTAAGAGGCCTTAGTTGAAGGAAAGATGTTGGCATGTTGAACGTTCAAATTTTTGGCAGTCAGTCTGTGTGCAAGGTTCCGAAGCGTGGACATGCATGGGCTCACGAATGCCTCCCGCGGAATGCCAAGCTCAGTCGTGAGACATGGCTCTGACCCAGCAGTTTGTCTTTGCTTTGAGACTTTTGGCAAACTCCTCCGCACGCATCTGAACGGGAGGGACAAGTGCTATTCACTTTGATGTCCGTTCATCAGCAAGGAAGCAAGTTGTATGTATTATCATATACAAATGTACAAAGCAAGCATATATTTGTATACACAAGCAATATAGACATTGTATACAATCCTCTTGTTGCCAGACAATGCATCTCCAGGTCCCAGGTCATACTTCAACACACCTAGTGCGCATGATTGTTTTTGTTGCTGAGGACAGTCGGTTTGAGATCTTGGAAGCATCTGCGAGAGTGCCATTTGGTGATATTTCAAGGGCGACGATGCGGCAGACAGGGTATGGCCTGGATATCACAGTGCCACAGTGGCCAATGCGAGAAAGGAAGTCCTTCAGAGCCCAGGATATCCCGCAGCCAAAGCCACATTTGAAGTTGGAGGCCAAGCCCACAGCTGTGCCAGAGGTACCTTCAGTCCAAGAATGGACTGTTTGCTTGAAAGATGCTTTCCATGGACAGCTTTGCTGATGTTTCTGGTAACAAATCGTTTGTAAGCTTTGATTTGTCTGTGTGAGGTACCTTTGCCACCGTCAGACGGCATTGAAGTTATTGAAGAGGAGTACGACTACCCGGAGAAGGATGCTGATGCTGCAGAAGGCTGGATTGACATGAGAGGTGAATTCCAGTCATACTGATGGAGTTGATCCGCCACATCTTGCACCAAGACGAATATTTGCAGAGTTGGAAGAGGTTGTGTATGCCTTTTTGCAATGTACAGCTTTGAGAATGCATCACCCAATTTTAGGCGCCGCCGCGTGTACAGAACAGGGATGCAAACACAAATTTGACGCTGAGACCCAGAGTCTCTAGAGTCTCAGTTTTGAGGGCGCTTTGCCATACCAGGGTGCCGATCCTGATCGGCATTCTTCATGCAATCCAGGTTAAAAGATCTTGGGGCCCTGAGCTGTTCAAAGGGTAGATTTTGGTTCAGGTCAGGCTGAAGCAGCGCAGATGTCAATTTGTTGAATTCCAAATCGAAAAAGCCATTTTGGAGCAAAAAAGCCAACTCATGGCAGTATTTGTGTGGGACTTAGGTTGAATTCAATTGAATTGTGCTTTTGCTTTCAAGTCAGGTTTGCAATTGCGCCTGATGGGGAAGAAGCTTCTGATCATTGGATCTGCTGTGGGCATATTTGCTGCGCGATTCTTGGTCCATTTTCTGAAATTTCCAAGCGATAAAGTTAGCATTCTAATTGGGTGCTGGCAGACTTTGGGCTATGCCATTTGCCTCTTCCTCCCGTTGCACAAGGCTGGAAGACATATCTTATTCTTGAATGGTCAGAAGTAAGCATCGTTCTGCAAAACGTTGCATTCTGGAAAAATACATATTGCTAGCGTAGCTCTTGCGCTGCTGGAAGAAAGGTTTATTGGAAAATTGGGAATCTGTTCGAGCCTGCACCTGAGCAAATTGAAAGCTTCTTGTGTTGTGCGAGACAAAACCTATAATAGGACGTCAGATCCTTGCAACTGAACATAATTTGTTTCCATCTGATGCATCTGACTCTGACATATTTTGACATCTTGCTTCTGCCTTCCGTCCAAGTGCCGTGCATATGAACGTTTACAGCATGACAGTCCACTACGACTGGAAATGGACGAGAGCCAGGGCCTCCCAGTGCTGACTTTTTTGTGTCCGAAGGGCTTGCCGCTACGCACCATTCAATGGCAGAGTTTCAACGACACGCTACTGAATGCTGAATTTGCCTTGTGTTTGGTACTTGGGCATGCTGCATGCTGCATGATGCAACACGAATGGTTAGCAGCGGCTCTGACTTGATGGGTGGCAATCCAGAACGAAAAGGAGCAATTTGCTGGAGCATGGTACTGACACAAGCCATCACACACCAACCTGTTTTGGATGCTATATTATATTCTGAATCACTGAAGGCCATGAGGATTGGACCGCAGTGTTTCAGTGAACTGTTTGTGCTTCCAGCCGGATTGGCACCAAGGCGTGCAAGTTGGCTCGGACCTCAAAAAAATATATACAAAGTGATCTGACAAAGCGATTGCAAAGTGTAGAACAAACGAAAGGCAGACACTGAAGCCTCGCGTGAGTACAAGAATCAGTTTTTCAGAGTGGTTGAGGTACAAGCCTTCGGCACCAAAAAGGATCTTTGTGCAAAAGACAAAGACGGCGAATCAGCCTCTACCTCTGTAATGCTACAGGATCGGTGCCAACAGTGTGCAACCATCATTTTTATGGCCAACTGTCAAAGCCGCGACTTCTGCAGGACGCCTCAAGCACGTATTGGGCTGAGGATTTTCAGGTTTGAGGTACAAGACTGCCTGATGAATAGAGACAACGTGTTTTGAGGTGGTGCACGGCCGCGTTCAAAAACGCGGTTACAGGAGGCTGCACTGCAATGACCTGTGCACCAAGCCCAGCATGCAGAGCACTGCAGCATAGTTAGTTGTTCAGATGGAGAAAGTAGATCAGAAACTTCAATCTAGAATGTTCCATCTTGCTCTGTACAATGACTATCAAGCCCCGGCTGAGTGTTGTCAAGCCCCATGTCAGGCATATTTGATGGGCATTATTCTGATTCTCTTTACAGTCGCCAACATGATCATGCAGGAAGGTCGTGACGCTTAAGGTTTGTTTTCTTTCCACGCTTGATCCGCAGGGTGTGAGCTTATTTCTCGTGCAAGAGTATATGAAAAAGCCCAAGAAGCAGCAAGAACCCTAGACTCTAGACTTAGTGACATTTATATGTTTTGTATTTGTATTGTTTTTCGAGTGTTCGTCTTGGCTTTGAGTTGTTTAGGTACCGCGAGACAGCATTCTTCCTGGCCCCTCAGTTGCAACCTTTAACCAGTCCACCTGTCTTTAAGACTTGTTTTGATCAATCTTGCAGGAATTGGAGGTTGCCAACGCTGGCAGAAATTCAGTAGGATGCGTGATTCGATTATCGTTGGCTTGACCTGACAATGTCACGAAGTCGTGTGAAGATTGTACTGCAAATCAAGCTGCTCAGTGAAACCTTCACCAAGTTACATTACTTCCACATGTGTAGGTAGGAACGTAAGAGCTACAGTGATGGAAAGACTTTGGGACTTCGGGTCACAAAGTTTTCGGTTGTAGAACCACTCCTCGGTCATGAATGATGAAGTGGTGTAGGTGCCGAGTCGTGTCATTGTAGTTGTAGCAAGGACCTCATTGGTTGTGTCCTGATGCTTGTGGGAGTTGCTGCCTTGGATGACGTGGATCTGATCTTGATTGTTTCGCTTATACATATTGAACTCCTTGACACACATCAGTTGCAGACGTACACGACTTTTTGTGCTTTCCTTCAGATTCTCTTGCCAAGGAAAAGATGTACATAGTGGTGTGTTGAACCTTGCCTCAGGTTATTCTGTACTGGCCAACAGCAATCCTTGCGTTTGATAGCTTTCCCGGCTTGTTTAGACACGGAATGATTTGAGGATGTATCATGGTAGCACCCTTGTAAACACTGCGAACGAAGTCGGGTGTTCTCAATGGAAAGGATGTAGACACGAAGTGCACTGGATCAAGAAAGTGCTTTTCAGCGCACAGCGAGTACACCAAGCCTTGTGGACACTGCCAATCATCTCGCTTGCCAGCGACACGCCGCGTTTACACACTTAGGATAGGGTGTACTGAACTGAAAGCGGTGCCACACGCCGGCCTAGGGTTCCAATTCCTAAGGGTACAGGTAGGGAATCAGCGAAACCTGGGGGTCTTCAAACGGAGAAGTGGCCCAAAGAGGAAGGAGCCGAACGACGAACGAACGGGCTGACGACGTTCCGCTCGCATCTGTAGTGCAAAGAAAAAGACAAGACATCTGAGTATCGAGGTTCTCGGCTTAGCCTCTTGCCATTCGGAAAAGGAAAATTGCAGGTACACACGGTTGATCAGACTGTGCATCCACCGACAAGCATAGCTTTGTTAGCCAGCGTTTGCTTGTCGGCCGCTGGCCCCCTGCTAAAAAGCTCAAAACACCAAAAATCCGAAAGGATCCCTATGATTCCAAGGGTTACACACACACGCCTCCCCGAAGGGAGGCATGTGTGACCTCCATCCTGCCCGGAAAGGAGGTAGGCACATGTGCACGCAAAAGGGACAGATGAAAATGAGAAGGACAAGACAGACAAAGGTGTGTGTGGTTGCCGATGAAAAGGAACCAAGTGAAGAGGGACAACCGATGAGCCAAACCTCATTGTAACGAACCTGGGCCACCTGAACCTCGCTGTAAGTAAAGTACGCGTGCGTGTATGTGTACAAACTAAGGTCCGGACGATAGTGCGCGCAAGAGAAAGAAAGGATGAGGATGAAGAGACGTGAAGACAGAAAGACATGAAAGAAAAGAGGAAAAAAACCGTCTGTGGGGGCCGATGAAAGGGGAACCAAATGAACGGGGACAAACCGATGACAAACCAAACCTCATTAGACAAACCTGTTGCAGAAGCCTAGTTTGCTTGTAAACACGCCGCGCGCGAGGAAAGAGGGGGCAGGGGGAGGAAGAAAAGAGAGGGAAAGAAAGAAGGAGACAAAGGTGCTCCCAGCTACGACACATGCGTCCAGGGACACACCAAAAAGAAGGGCTCCCAGCTATGACGAAGCATCCAAGAACACCCAGGGAAGAGGGTGAAGAGAGAAGGAAAGAAAGAGAGAGGGAGAGAAAGGGAGAGGAAAGGAAGGTGTTCCCAGCTACGAACAATCGTCCAGGGACACACCAAAGAAGGAAAGGGGAGATCCTGAGTATTACATTCAGGAAAACCCAGAAAGCAAAAAGAGAAAGGGGGAGGGCAGGGGGAGAGGGGAGCTAAGTTCTCCACAGGTTCCAATGAACCTTTAACTCGCTTTGACCGCTGTGGTCACCTTGTGCCTTGCCAAATGGCTGGCTGCTTTGACCGCTGCGGTCACGTAAAGGCATGAGCCAACTTGAAATTCCAAAGATGAGACAAAAATCATCGTACGTACGGCCTAGGCCACCTACGCTCGCTGCGAGCTGCTCTGTATCCGGGCAGTGGATACGTTCGACGTACCCCCGTTCAACGGGTCCACGGGAGGCGCTCTGCGGGCTCATCCCGGGTTGGCGCGAGGCCAAACACACTTAGGATAGGGTGTACTGAACTGAAAGCGGCGCCACACGCCGGCCTAGGGTTCCAATTCCTAAGGGTACAGGTAGGGAATCAGCGAAACCTGGGGGTCTTCAAACGGAGAAGTGGCCCAAAGAGGAAGGAGCCGAACGACGAACGAACGGGCTGACGACGTTCCGCTCGCATCTGTAGTGCAAAGAAAAAGACAAGACATCTGAGTATCGAGGTTCTCGGCTCAGCCTCTTGCCATTCGGAAAAGGAAAATTGCAGGTACACACAGTTGATCAGACTGTGTGCATCCACCGACAAGCATAGCTTTGTTAGCCAGCGTTTGCTTGTCGGCCGCTGGCCCGCTGCTAAAAAGCTCAAAACACCAAAAATCCGAAAGGATCCCTATGATTCCAAGGGTTACACACACACACACACTCAAGAAATGCGTACTGACACGTTTGCGGTTTGCCACACGCCAGCCTAAGTAAAAAACCTAAGAAACCAGAGTGAGTAGAGTCAATATATGTAAGGCGTTCTGACCATAAAGCCTCCAAAAGCCTCCAAAGCTCAAAAGCGAAGT